TGTGCCAGTGAAACATATTTCACCGAAGTCTGGGAGATGCTGTAAGTAAAACCCTAAATGGGGATTTAATTTATTGTCAGTGATGCTGTTGGCACACCATTATTTTCTGATAAATGAAAACCAGGTGCAAGCTTGGTCCACAAGGTCACGCTGTGATTGTGATACTGGCGACCTCAGAGGGACGAAGAGTATTAGAGTAATAACAGTATCTGTCTTATCTTGTAGGTAGTGTGATGAGGTCAGCACTTGTGATTGTAATGAGAGATGCTAGAGTGGGGCAGCTGTGTGCAGTCAGAACTCTGACAGACAAGCTCTGGGTGATACAGCTGTAGCAGTTTCAGTCTACTGTTCCTGGTTGTTTGCATCCTCCTCCCGTCTGCTGCTTTATCAGCTAAGATCTGTGTCTGCATCTCACCCATGCCAGTCCAGAGCCTGTCCTAGCTGCTGCCAGGGACAGCGGACTTGTGCCAAGGCACTTGGTTCTGAACTGTCATAGCAACTGTAGCCCTTGCCAGAGGCTACCTGGTCCAGCAGAATTAACAGCTGGGGGATTTAACATCTTAAATTGCCAAGCTGACATCCATCAGAGCTCATGTGAGAGTGCCAAGCAGTCTGTGTAACCTCCAGCCAAGTATTAAGTCTCCTCTTTCCCAATATATGCTAATCTGTGAGAAATGGATTGTTACAGATCCCAGCTCTGCTGATGAAGCAGTTCCAGTTATAAAATCCCTTGATTTTGTACACTGAAGTTTCCAGTGGCCATCATGGTATTAGGCACTGGAACAGGTGTAAAACGTCTGATATGGTCTCCCCACCTGCCACTGCAGAATTTGGAATAAGGTGAACTGCTTGAGAAAAGCTGTGAAAAATGTGTGTGAAGAAACACGTGCAGCCAAAATGTTCTCCTCCTAAATGTATACATTTCTCTGGTTGACAGCCGTGCATATATGGCTTCCACAATCCTGTAAGACAGTTTCTGGAAAGCTGGAAATGCAATTTTTTTATGAAAATAATCTGCTGACTCAATATAGACATGCATTATCCATGCCTTTGCTGTACTGCTGGGGAGGTTTGATAATAGGGCAGTGTTTGATTCCTTGTGCTCTTTTCCATTCCTGTGTCACACAGTTTTTTTGCTGCTATTTGCAAGGCCTGAAATTACTCACTGTTAAGTATTATTAAGGAACAATTCTTAGCATTTTAGATTTTCAGGGATTGTCTTTGGCTAATTTCCACAGCATCCCTGTGAGCTGAAACGGCTCACTGCCTTTCTGCTCGCAAATAGTGTGATGTTCATCTATTCTTTGAGCAATTAATCTGTGGGACTTCCTGGTTCCTCTGGAACATGCTCCTTCTGCAGCAGGAGTAAGTCAACCTTAAAAACACATGGAAACTCAAAAGAGGGACAGGTAGTGTGTACTTCAGCATTGCTTCGGCTCTGCTGCAGGGCTATAGAGTTGTTGTGGATGCACTGGGGAGCACCCAGATTTTGGAGAGGAAAACGTGTCTCCAGCTTGCTTGTTTCAGAGGTAGGGAAGCATCCTGGGACAGAAAAACGATTATCTCAGAAGTCACCTGCCTACCATCCTTTAGGAATGAAGGAAATCCTGCAGCTCTCACAGTACAGCAGTACTGCTCTGGAAGCTGGTGCCACATGGGTTAAGCCATATAACTGTACACAGTATAAAAATGAACAAAACTACTTTCCAGTGCTTTGAAAATGGTTTGTCAGTGCCCATACTGCACAGGTTCTGTCTAGTGGTGAGCAATGCTGCTTGCCATTACACAGGCTGTTCCAGAAATGCTTAGTGATTACAGCACCACCTTCCCTGGCCCTTTTATTTAAGGAACAGTTCTGCCCTGGGGTTTATTTAATTCCTGTCTCTCCCAAAATTGAGGTGGATAAGCCTTTCTACCAAAGGGATATTTTTTTTTATCAAAAAAGTGTTAACAGTTTCATGTTCATCCTGGCTCTGTGAATATTTGTATACTGGCAAAATAGAAAGTTTAATAGCTAAAGGGTGATGCAGGAGCGGGAAGGAGAGCTTAAAGGTGATGCAGGAGCTGGAAGGAGAGCTTAAGGGTGAGATTCTTATAAACCAGTTCTGTCATGGAAGGAAACACCACATGCCTAATACATGTGGCATGAGCAGAGAAGCAGTGTCATGGTTATCACCTCTTTAATCACCCTCTCCATTCTGCCTCCCTGTAACTTTCAAGTGGATTAGTGGGTAATACTAAGTACAGAGTACACAGGTCAACTGGCTTACTTGTACTCAAATGCATAAGAAAGAAGCAGTCAGCCTGCCCTTCTGAACTCTGTTCTTCCAAGTATGATAAACAATTTTCAAGAGTTTTAGAGGTGCAGAGGAGAAGATCTGCGGTGCAATAGAAGTTATGTTTTAGGTGGAGAATTGTCAAAGATGCCAATGCCCCTGATGCATATACTACCTCTGGGCTTTCAGTAGGAGGCAAGCATGTCTGTGCTTTTGTCATTCAGTTGATAGTAGAACTGACCTAAGTACTCATGAAAAATAATTCAGTCTCCATTTTTGACCTGTTGGCAATTTGTGATCAGCTCAACAAGTATTAACATAACATATGTATCTCTGGAGACATGAATTATTTATGTGGGTGTTCAAAAGGTCAGAAAAGCAGTTTTCTTTTGGGGATGTACGACTGGCCATGTGATTTGCATGGTATTCTCTCATCCCTGATTGTGTTAGCATTTTAATTGCTTATTCCATCTGATCCCAATTTTGATTCTTGATGAGGTCTCACTGATAGTAATTCTCACTGAACATTTATCCCTAAAAAGATTCGTTTATGTGAAAGTTTGTGAATAAAGAGGTGTAAACCAGTCAAGTATCCATCTGATTTGTTATGTGAGCTGCTAGCTGATAAATGCTTATGTACTTTGATCAGCTTCAGTCATGATTGAGACAGAGACTTCAAATCAACTACCTCGCAGCAAATAACATAGGTATGAATTCAGGATGAAGGCAACTTCAGTATCATCACCCATTTTGATTGCTGTGGTACAGTATATATCCATTTCCTCTGCTGATCAGGTAGAAAAGCTACTCAGGAGATGTGTCATGCACTTTATTTTGAAACACAATGTATGACTCATTCCCCAAATATATCCACTGCATGCCTTAATAGTTTTAAGCCAGAAGATGAGCTAAGCAGCAGCAAACAACATCAAGAAAACTGGTTTGTGCCAAAAAATGCAGGGGACTGCAAATTCCAAGGATAGGATGACAACCATGTATCCTAACAAGTAACTTCTTAGGTCCCGTAAATTGGTGCATTATGACACTCAGACAGAGTTTTGAACTATCAGAAAGTGACTGGGGAGATCAGTAGGGTGATGGGCAGCACTGGAAAAGGAAGCTACAGTTGCCTACTGCCTCTGCTTCTCGGGAAGGAGAAGAAAATGGCTATATATGTGTTCATACACAGGCGTGTGGGTTTGTGGTGCTTCAGTCAGCTCAGGGCAATGGAGATATGGACATGCTAAATGAAAGCAGATGTACAAGGAAGATTAATGCATGTTGGTCTAACACAAATATTCATCACATGAACACCAACTTGGCCCAGCTTGCCATGCTACTGTGTCTGTTGAGGGGGTTTGATATGGTGCACAACGAGTATGTCCTTCCAGACACTTTCTTGAACGAGTTGAATGGTGAACAAAGAATAAGCTACTGTGGAGACTCTGCACTGCAGCTATTGAAGTGTTTCATGGGGAACCATGACAAAACTGTCTCCCTGCTTCTCTTTCTGACATGTCAACATGCAATGCCAAAACACTAGGATCTTTAAAAAAACCCAAACCAAAACAAAAAACCCCCACCATTTTTAGATCTCTAAAGGAATAAATGAGCAGGTAGTGTTCAGACAAAGCTCTCAAGTAAAAATAATTATCATTAAGCTGATTGTGAATGTTTACTTGATTAAAATCTTTTGCTGGTGGAATGAAAGGTTTGTTGTTTTTAATCTGACAGAAAATTTATAAAATTACTGTAGAGAGACTTTCCAGGAAAAGGAGGAAAAGCAAATAATTCTTGGGAAACCATTTCGAGTTTCTTACCAAACAATATAAAATCTAAATTAAAAGCTGCCCTTCCACTGACTTACTTCAGTATGGAAAGTAATTTTGAAGGTATTTGGCCATTTCAATGCCTTAAATAAGGCATTTTTTCTGGTGGCATTAAGTAGAAATTATAAATTACTATAAACATTGGGCCGAGAGCTCCTCTTTTGCTGGGCTCTTGTGAGCCTATGAGTACTCTAGACTGACTGTATTTTTTTTTCAGTGCCTGACAACTGCCACCTCAGATATGTTGAGATGTATAGTCGATTAAAACCTCTGCAGTTCAGAATAAACTGAAATATTTCCCAACATTTTCTTTTCAAAAACCTTTAGCAGGCATTTCTCTAAAAGCTACTATCATAAAGGATATAGAGACTGTGTTAATAACAAAAATTTGTAAGTGCACACCTTGTTCCTACGCTCATGGAAGACAATGACAAAGCTCTCATTAACCTTGGTCCTGAAGGATCAAGTTGTTTCCTCTTATAAGCTCCAAGTGATCTGGTGAAAGCAATTGATCAATCCTGCCACCACCATGTGGGAGAGATGTTAGACTTAGAGATGAATGCACCAAGGTGAAGTAATTATTTCAGGTTCTGCAGTGATTATGCACTGAAGATGGACAGTACTCAGTTGCTGTCCTCTGAGCTAATCATCAAGAAATAAACTCTTCACTTGCTCGACAAGAGATTTTGAAAGACATCTTACAAGCTTGGATCAACCAATATTGTGAATGAAACATATTTTGGCTTATGCATTATAGAAATACATTGGGTATGTTCAGTGTGCAAGCTCACTGGACACACAGTGTTTCAACAACTTGCTCCTGTTTTGCCTAACCTGTCAATGTCTTTCAGTCCTCAGCTGTCATTTGGCCAACCCTCTCCCTCCAATAACTTACAACTTTCAATTTCTAGTGTGCAGTTTTGTTCATCCAGAGGATATCTGCGTAGGTCCATCATGCAAGCAGCTGTTGTTGTGATCCTGTAAGAGGAGGGTGAAAAAAATAATGAGTCTTGAAACCACATTTTACTTATTTGAGGTGGCAAGATTTTTTATAGTGGCTTTTCTCTTTGTTTAAATGTAGAATGGCTCTGCACATGAATTCCTGGCATACAGGCTTCTTAGAGCTTGTAAAGCATGATTAAATAATTTATACAGCACAATATACTGATTAATGTATAAAGCATCAGAGCATACGCCGAATATTGTAGAGTAGGATTTTGACTGAAAACCTTATGTGCAAAAGTGCTTTGGAGAACATTCAGCGATATTTCTATTTGGGCATCTTATTTTTAATGTTCTTAATTCAGACACCTTCAAATTGTTTTGTGAATTTTTAATTTATAACTCATACTGCTGACAGCTTTCTTTTTTCATTTTATTGTCACTTACTGTTGTTTTAATTTTGCCTGATAGGTATGTGCACTTTCATCCATGCAGTAGAAATACTGGTAATATCTTATTTATCTTTAATTATCTTTATGGTTTCATGATCAGTTTATCATTAACTATGACAATTGAACATCACCTCTTAATAATGGCATAAGCCAATCAAACACTTGTGACATATAACATTGTATGGTGGCTACTTCATGAATGTTGAGAGTAACTGTGATTGCAGGCTGGACATTTCAGATCCTTGCTCCTTCTAGGGGGCATGTGAGTTGATACATGGTCTCTAAAGATATTCTCCATAGCCTAAGATTTTTTGAAAAGCAATTCCTCTCCCTTTGTTATACCATAAATCACAGAGCATCTGAACAAATACTTACTGATAAGCCTGTTACATGTGGGAGGAAGGTTAAGAGACTTCATGAGGATAGGGGTCAAATTTTAGCTTTCTTAAAGGTCCCTTTAAGAAAGACAATCATATTGGTGTTTTCAAACTCACAAAAGTTTTTTCCTCTTTTTTCTCTTTTTTTGTTTTTTTTTTTTTTTTTTGGTGATAGATGGGTTCTTAAATGCTTACAAAACTTTTGAAGCTGTGAATGGTCAAACTTGATTTGTAATTTTATTGGTCTCTCTCTCCCCTCCTCCCTTCAATGATTTCTACCAGAGAAAGGCAGATAACCTCTTTTCTTGATGTGGATTCGATCCTGTTGTTCCAGTTCCATGTTAATTAATACCACAGGAACACATCTTGAGATTTTACTTTTGATGTGCTGAAAGTCAAGCACACTTACATCCTGTATTGGGGTAACAATCCTTGCTGTCACCAACTGCTTTACTACTGTGACATACTTCAAAATATCCTAAGTCTACAAAATTCATCTGTCATATCTAAGTATAAGGACTAGAAATGGCTGTAATGAGAACCCATCCATGAAACCATTCTGGAATACTGTGCAAAGTGCCATGGAAATGGTATATTTATACATTTTCTCAGGCTGATTTTTGTCACATTAAATTGAAATGCATGTGTCTTAACAGGTTTTGCATTTGTCATAAAAAAGGTCAAGGGCTTCAGCTGTGGTAGGACCTCATTTAGATTAGCCATGTACCAACTACACCTTACTGGCAGGCAATGAGAAGACATGCAGCACTAATTTGTCAGATGCCTGCTTAATAATGCTTAAGATCATACGTAATAATATACTAACATTAGTCACAGTTAAATGCTTTTTTAATGAAGGTTTCATAGGGCAATATTTTGTTCCCAATTAATAAATTGGCTTCTATGGTAATTTAGTTCACCTATATCAACCAGATTTTTTTATGTACAGAAATAGAAGTTGACATAGTGTTTTCTAAACCACTGCAGAGGTGAAACACAACCCTGCATCATCCTCAGACTGTTCTATGATTTCAGGAACTCCCATTAGGCTTTGGCTTTTGAGTAACAAGTTGAGTGGTGAAGTGTACCTTGACTGTGCCAGAAACTCTTGCTTGGCTAAGGTGGGGGTGGCACTGCCTGTACAAGGGACTGCTGTTGCCTGACCAAAAAGGGGAATGAGAGATAATCATCCATCCCCTGACAGCTTTGGAACCTTATTTACCTGAATTGTAGCCTGAGTGAAACAGTACCGTTGTTACTGAACTTTTTAAAAACTCCAGTAATTACCAGCTTGGATTACAGCCAGGATGGAAGACAACAAGCATTTTGCGACTCTATAAGTGACTGTTTTAAGTGAGGCCCTTTGAGCCATCCTGGAATGTAGTGGGATGCAGCAGCATCTCTCTCTGAGAGGGAAGCCGTTCAGAGCTCACCAACTCTCAAATTTGCAATACTGGCAGAACCATCACTGAAAACTGATGGTGGGACACGGTCTGACTCCCCCCCCCTCAAGGTTCAAGTCTCACCCATTGAGAAATGACAAGGCATTTGACCTTAGTATTTCACTGAAGTTGAGGGGAATTTATGTATACACAGATTTATGTCTGTATATATTTGTGTGTGTGAATTGACTGAAACACACTATAGCAAGTCTAACATTAATGTTGCTTCTTGGATCCATAATTAAGTCACTGTGTTAACTGTAGTAAATTCTACTGAATCCTTTTACCAATGTTAAATTGGTCAATTATTAAGTGCAGCTAAAGCCTTTAGACTAAACTATATGGTACTGAAATTGGACTCAGCCTCACCTAGGATCTATCAGGAATTTAGAAAGCAAGGGGCCCTCTCTGAACTTTGTGACTCAACAGGAGGGTCTCTCTTATTCTTCTTCACCCTTACTCTTTTACATCCCCCACTTCTGAGTAAATAATTCTAAATTGATTCTAGTCAGATTTTCCTTTGTATGCTTCATCTATGTAATAAATAATAGAGTAAACCTTTCCATAGCACTTTGTGAAGTCGTACATTCATAAATTTATATAAAACCTTCTTTTAGTAATACATTTAACAGTGATTCTTTGAGTTACCTTAACACTCATTTGACCACAGTGTTTAAGCTATTTCCTATTGGTCAGTGTATCTGTACAGCTGACTTCTGCAGTTTTTACATAAGCTACATAAGTAACAGCAATTAGCTATTTTTCATAACATCATAACATAACATCAATGCAAATTAATAGTACAGTAGTAAATAATGCAATTGTTCATACCTGGAATTTAAAAACTCTACATAATTTTTCCCCCAGACATGAATTCTGACAACTGCATTGTCTTCTCACTATTTGTGCAGTTTTTGGCGCCCTGCATCGTTTGGTGTTTCTGATCTCTAATATAATCCAAGAACAAAAGTTAATGTATATCTTACTAAGACACTGTACTGCTAATTGCAGGTGGGATCTGGAAGTAAATGCTTGGATTATGGAGCAGAAAGTTAATAAACAAAAATAAGCTAATTTTTTCTGGCAGCAGTAAGTGATCCAAATCTGTCTGGCCTGTCTATTGGTAATTTCTCATCCTTCATCCTGGTTAATCACTCCTTGTGATGCTACAAGGAAAGGTAAAACAAAGCACTTCATCTACGCTCTCTGCCTCCCTCAGGTATGTTTTGCATTCCGTATAGGACCTGTGAGGCAGCCTCTGTGCTTTAGAACTATTCTTCATACTTTAGGGAAGGTTCATACTTTGGGGAAGGTGGGGAGCAGCTTTCCCCTCATGACTCTTGCAACCCCTTAGCAGCAGTGCTGAATGCTACTGTGGCTCTGTGGTGCAATAGCAAGCAGGTGCTTCCATGGAAGAGGGAGTTAAAGGGCTTTTGCTGAAGTTTGCAGAGACAAGGGCTGCACAACCTGAAACAGGAAAGACAGCGGTAGGTAGTGGAGGGTATCTGTCAAGAAGCTTGAAACTTGTGGCTTCCAGCATCAGGAGAAAGGATCATGCTTCCCTTGTATGCCCACAGCTTTGGAAGTGGTGTAGTGCCCTGGACAGGGAGATGATAAGCAGTATCTGCCCAAGGATTTGGCAGAGCCAGCTGAGCCTGAGCTACACAGCCATGTGAATGGGAAAAGGCCAATGGGAGCTGCTGGAGGCTCCTCCCTGAAGGGAGGACAATGCTAAAGCTGGAGGTGCTTAAACTTTATTGGGAATCTTAGACTTCCTTGAAACTAGCTACTTGTAATTGCAGTAGGAGTCTTCACTATCCAGCAACATTCATTACCTGTAATTCATAAATCCGCTTTTCAAGCATTTCTTTCTCCCTCATGGTAGAGATCAACTGTAAAAAATTGTTAATGGCATTATGCTCTGGATAATCACAAAACTTGTTTAAGGAGATAAATTAAACCCAGATGCAATCATAGTAATTGTCTTGATGAAAAAAATAAAATCTTTTATTATACATACAGTAAAATCCCAGACCTGTTAGCGGTTGTACTCTCTCAGAGGAGAGAGTAACTGATGGTTTGCACATCAGTTAAAAATAAAGACATTCAAATGCAGAATACAGGAGTGTAATGGCAGGAAGAGGAAGGAAATACTCTGAAGGTAGGGCAAAACTGCAGTAAATCTGTGTTCAAGAGGATTAGACCTGAAAGTCCCTCACACAAGCAGTTTGTGAGTATCATGAGCCTCTGTAAATGTTTAGGCGGAGGATTAATCCTACATTTGAAGCAGAACTATTTATATTTCAAAGTAGGATATGTTTCTTCCAGGCTTTCCATTCTTAAAATATGTTTTAAATTCTGGTGTTGGGGCTAATGTATTTTGTTTGTACAGTGACTTTGACCATGATGTCCTTACATTCTTTAGATTCATTTGGATACAAATGAAAAAAAATGGGATTATGCAAAGAAGGCAAGTAGTTAGGTAGAGATATATGATTACACTACTTAATTTCATTCATGTCAGTACTCAGAGATTCTGGGGTGGAATGAGGTCTGAACTGCCAACAGACAAGATAAATAGCATTTGCATAAAAGCAAAATTAGCTGATTTTTTTTTTTAAATTGTGGCTTGGGGTTCAGGTTATCTGATCCACTGCTTGGCTTTGATGTCTTACTCTCTGAATATCATATTCTTACTGTAAAAGCAAGGGGTTTTTTCCTAAAAATTATATGAAAGAAAACACTGACATCCAGTATTTGCAAAT